GACCACAAGTTCAAGGCCAGCCTCAGCAACTTAGCAAGGCCCTAAGCAACTTAGTGAGATCCTGTCTCAAAATAAAAAATAAAAAGGGCTGGGGATGTAGCTCAGTGATTATATGCCCCTAGGTTCAATCCCCAGTACCAAAACCAAAAACACAAAAACAAAACAAAACAAAACAAAAAAAGAAAACATAAGAAAATGTTTTATAAAGTTCTAAGAGATGCATTAGACAATTTTGTCATTGGATAAACCAAGATGGCTATGATATCACTGGGCAATTGTATATGTAGTCAGTTGTTGACAGCACATGACTGTACAAGCATTTCTGACAGGCCCATACCTAAAAGTAGAATTGTTAGGTTATGAATTGTGCATATGATCCCCTTTAGTAAATACTGGTAAGCAGTTTTGAAAGTGGTAATATCAATTTATATTTTCATCAGCACTGTGTGAGAATTTTATTCATTCTATATTCTCACCAATATTTTATATTGTCTTTTTATTTATGGCAATTCTAGTGGGTTGGGGAGGGTTTGTTCATTTTGTTCTGTGTAGTGCTAGGGATGAAACCAGGGCTTCACACATGTCAAGCAAGTGCTCTACCACTGAACTATACCACCAACTCCAATTTTAGACTACCAGTGAGGTTGAGCACATTTTCTTAAGTTGTATATTCTATTTTGTAAGGTCTCTATTCAAGTGTTTTGACTGTTATTCTATTGGGTTATCAGTCTTTTCTTATTGATTGGTAAGAGTTCTTCAGATATTCCAGATATGCATCTTTTATTGGATATATGTGCAAATATTTTCTCCCATTCTGTAACTTACCTTTTTATTCTCTTAATGCTAAATTTTGAGGGACAAAAGTCTTAAATTTTAATGTAATTTAATGTGTTGATCCTTTATTTTATGGTAGGTAACTCCTTCCTGTCTTGAGTCTTTTCTCACCCCATTTTATACAGATATTCTCCTATGTCATATTTTTAAAAGCTTTATTGTCTTGCCTTTTATATTTTTCTCAATATTTAGCAAATTGATTTGGGGATGTTTGTGTGAGGCAGGGATCAAGATACATTTTATGGGCTGGGATTGTGGCTCAATGGTAGAGTGTTCGCCTAGCACGTGTGCGGCCCTGGGTTCAATCCTCAGCGCCACATAAAAATAAATAAATAAAGGTATTGTGTCCAACTACAACTAAAAAATAAATATTTTTTAAAAGTTACATTTTATGTGAATATCCAACTCATCTGAAAACACTTATTGAGAAGACTGACCTTGCCGATTCTGAAGAGCCAACTTCATCATAAATCAAGTGACTTAGTTCACTTACTGAACTCTATTGTCTTCCATTAGTCTATTTATTTATCCTTGCAGCAAAACTGCCCTATTGGTAACTTCATAAGTCTTAGTAGCTGGTAGAGGAAACCTTCTCTTGTTTTGACTATTCTTTGCCTTTTGCAATACTAAAGAAAAATTACAATTGGCTTATCAAATTACACATGCACATACACACAAATATGTTGGGATTTTCATTAGAATTTCAACAACTCTATTACTTTTGGAAGCTTGTATATCATTACAATTCTTGAACATAGCATATTGCTCCATTTATTTGTCTTTAATTTTTCAATGATGTTTTATAATTTGCTGTATATAGGTCTTGCACATTTTTCATTAGTTTTATTACTAGATATTTGGTAGGTTTTGATGCTCATATAAATGATGTCTTCTTTTCTCAATTTTTCTCTTTATTACTGGTATACAGAAAATACTGGTTTCTTTTCTTTGTGGTGCTGGGGATCAAACCCAGGGCCCTGTGCATGCTAGACAAGTACTCTACCACAGATCTATACTCCCAGTCCTAAAGAACTAACTTTTTATATTGATCCGTGTCTCACAACCCTGACAAATTTACTTATTATAAGTAAATTTTTATGTAACCTTTTGTATTTTCTATACACAAAAATCACATCATCTATAAATATTTGTATATTTATCTTTCCTTTCTAATCCTGTGTCTTTTATTTGTCTTGCTTTAATGCACTGAGCAGGACCTCCAGCACAATTTGAATGAAAAGACTATAGTGGGCATCCTTGTTTTATTCCCAACTTAGAAAACATTCAACATTTTCCTGTTAGGTATGATATTTACTACAGCTTTAAAAGTAATTTCCCTTATGTTCTTAGCAAACTTATGCTTGCTAATTTTTTTTTTGTCATGATGGGTTTTTTTACTTTTTTTTTTTGCATCTGTTCAAACAATCACATGATTTTTCTCCAATTCCTCGAGAGATTTGTGTAAAATTAGAAAATTAGTGGTCTTTTTTTTTCTTTAAATGCTTTGTAGAATTTACTATTTATGGTATCTGGGCCTGGAGGATTCTTTGTAGAAAGCTTTTTAATTATAAATTCAACTTATTTAATAGTTATAGGATTGCTTGGAGTCTATTTTTTTTGGTGAGTTATAGTGAATTGCATTTTTCCAGGAATTTTTAAATTGTATTGAAATTTTCAAATTTGCCAGTATAAAGTTCTTTCTAATACCATCTAATTAAATTTTATTAAATTGTAATGTCTCTGTGACCTGTACTGTAGTGCCCCCATTTGTTCCTGATACTTTTTTAAATGTGCCTCCTGTATTTCTTTTCTAAATAAGTCTCAGGGATTTATCATTTTCTAGATTTTTAGAACCAACTTTATTTCCAGCCATTCTTTTTAAATAATATATAAATTTAAAGCTATAAGTTTCTCCCGAAACACAGACCTAGTGGCATCCCTCAGAATTTCAGATATATATTTTTTTCAGAGACAGACAAGTGTTTTTTTAAGAAAGCAGAGACACATTCAGAGGGGGAAAATGGGCTATCTTGAGAGTGAGAAGCCTTCAGATATATTATTTTCATTATTGGTCAATCCAAAATATTTTCTAATTTCCATTATGGAGTTTTCTTTTTTCTTTTTTTAAAGAGAGAGTGAGAGAGACAGAATTTTTTAATATTCATTTTTTAGTTTTCAGAGGACACAACATCTTTGTTTGTATGTGGTGCTGAGGATCGAACCCAGTCGCGCTACCGCTTGAGCCACATCCCCAACCCTGGAGTTTTCTTTTATCCAGGGGTTTTCTCCTTCTCCAAATCATGGTGCCAAACTTCAGTGGGCATAAAAAATTAACCATCTGAATGGCTTGTCAAAATATAAGATTTTGAGTCCCATTTCAAACCTACCAGATTAGTATTTCTATAAAGAGGGCCTGAGAATTCACATTTCATAAGTCCTCTAGCAGATTGAGATGCAGGTGTTTGCCTTCCTGGCACACAGTTTGGTGGCAGAGACTGGGTTTTCTAAGGGCAGGGAGCAAGTTCATTTCACCCGAATCATCAGGGCCCAGCACTGGACCCATGTAAAACTGTGTTTAAGAACCGAATGAGCCAATATATGAAGGAAGAAAGGAAATAAATTTCTTATATAAAGATAATTAGAATTCTGGAATGCTAAATTCAAGCAGCATCATTTGGTCCCAGTTTAATCCCATTTGGATCAGAAATAGTTTTTCCTTGTCTTCCCTTCCTTTTCTGGTCTGCCCACCAGGCTTTCTCTTCACCTGTCCCATTATGCCTTCCCAGAACATGGCCTTAGTATGGGTTCATGCCTGTCTACTTGCCTAAGGAAAACAGGGATTAATCAGAGCTGGGCACACCTGCTTCTCCCTGAGCTCCCCCTCCCCCACCACCCATCTCCTGGACCTGCCCATCGAACCCCACTCTAAATAAATTATTTATCCTACCTCTCAGAGACCTAAGCATACCTCCCAACCCAGAGATTTTGAAAAACTTCCACCGGACCTTTGTCCAGACCCCAGACACTCCTATTCCCTGCCTCCTTTGCACCTGTAACCCATGTGAGTGGCTCTCTCAGCAGCTCCTTCGCCACCTCTACCTGCCTCCATGCATGCCTCTCTCGAGCATCTCAGAAAGGCCTGAGCCTGACTTCCTCAGCCAGCTATTGTCCTGGCAGCACAACCGCCACGCCAGCATCCCCACCCAGCCAGCCAGCCAGCCAGCCGGCTGTTCCCCAGCCTCACCAGCCCCCCCTCCCCGCCCCGCCCTAGGGAGGACCAGGCTGGTGGTTGGGAGTCTCCCTGCCTGCTCAGCCTCCCTCCTTCCCTCTCTCTCCCTCCCTCCTCCACCCGCCCCTGAGGCAGGGACCGTGCAAATCGAGGAGAGGGGGGACAGACAAGCCGGATGGGGTCTAGCTTAGGGCTTTGGACTCCCCACTGTTACCCTATCCAGGCTGGGTATCCCCAGCATCTTAGGAACTAGATTTGTATTAGCTGGGGTGATTCCCAAGCCAGGAAGTTCCTTCCGGCAGGCCTGTAGTGCCCTCCTCTTACATTAGGACCCCCCTTGGATACTCTGAGCCACCCTCCTCAACCCGGATCTAAAACCCGGGACACAGCTATCAGGCCAGCCTCTCTCTCTCCACCCCACCCCCTCTTTCTGGCGTCCATCCCCTCCCCAACACCACCTCTGCTGCTGCCTCTGGCTGTGGACCTGCACCTCTTCCCCATCCCCGCCAGGCCCGGGGAGAGGGGTGAGCCTGGATGAGAGCCCCCCAACCTGGGGCTCTCTCAGGCCATGGCCCCTGTGCTCCCGGGGAGGAGCCCAAGACCCTGAGCATCTGCTAGAGGCTTGGCAGAGGCCCCGCGGGGACCGAGTCTTCTGAGGACAAAAGGCGGCGGCCAGCAGGCAGACGGGGCGGGGGGGGGGGGGTACCAGCAGCCAGGCAAGTAGGCGGATAGCAGGGGCCAGCGCTGGCCCCCCCTCCCAGCCTGGCTGTGGCATGAAGATGGGGGTGGGAGTGTGTAGTGGGGGAAGCACCTGCTGGGACCCCCACCTGCCAGCTTGTTGGGCACCCCATGGCTGTATGCTGCCCACCTGGTGTTCCCCAACACCCCAGCCCTGCCCAGTGCACCCCTCTGGTGCCTGCTTCCCCTAATGCCTGCGATTTAGACCAGCCCATCTGTATCCACGGCAACAGAAGCAGAAGTGTCACTGGCCGCCAGATCACTGAGGGTCCCACAATGTGGCCTGGGCTGTGATTTATCCTGGGCGAGACAGCTTGAGCCCCCTTCCTGGATTCCAAGACAGACCTGCTGAGAGAGTCCAGGTAAGCAGTCGGCATCTCTTTATCAAGGATGGGGGGCTGGGACTTCTTTTCTGTCTCCCCACACATTTCAGAATCTCCATCACTGCCATGCTCCTTCTCTCTCTCTCTCTCTCTCTCTCTCTCTCTCTCTCTCTCTGACTCTTTAGTCTCTCTCTTTCTGCTCCATCACAGGGACTACTAGAGCACCCAAGCTTGGAGACTCCTCATCTTTCTCCATCTTTCCCCAGTCCCAAATGTCCCATGAGAAAGGGAACCACCACCTGTTTCCCCACATAGGGTCTGTTTTTATCATTATGGTCGTGTTTGGGCATGAGGCTGTGTTAATTCCTTGTGTGCTAGCTATAGAGGGGATGCCTGGGAGCCCGGCTGTGTTCCCCTCACAATGCCTGCAGCTGCTTCCTCTCCCTCTCCCTCCTCCTTCACCCTCCTCCAGGTTCCTTGGCCTGTTTGCAGGATGTGTGTGTGTCCATGTCCGTGTGAGTGTGTTTGTGTGTATGAGAGAGAGAGAGCACCTGTGTAGCAAGCAGGTGGGTACATATGACAGGGAAGCTGCACCTAGCCCAGACCACCCCCTGCTCCTTTTTTGCCTTTCCTTCTTTCCTTCCCGTATTTCCCCACAGGTAGCACAGACTTTTGCTCATTCACTATGGAAAATATGTGATTCCCATATAGGGGGAGGAAGATGCTGTAGGGATAAAGGAAGGTGAGGTGGGGGTAGGGAGTACTTCCAGGCCCTAGACTGCCTGAAGGCTCTCAGGGGGCAAGGAACAATCCACATGATGACCTGCAGTGACCAGGCACAACATGGTCATTCCCACATTGTGGGCCTCAGCCTCCATCATATGGCTCTATCTCTGTTTCAGATACCCATGTTGTGTTTGGGACCTCCAGATCTTATGGCCTTCTGCATGGTGGCCAGCAGTCCCTATATATTGAGGGCAGGAAAACTGGTACATGGAGAACATGGATTCTACCAGGGACACATCCCTCAACTGCTAGCTCTGCAACTTTAGCAGAAGCATGCCACTTACTGAACCTCAGTTTTCCCATCTGTCAAAGATACTGGTAACCCTTCCTTCATGGTGTGTGAAGGGATTAAATGTGTTGGTGCATATAAATAAAGGATATGCATAGAGGTGGCACTGAAGCAATGTCAACCAAGCTCATGGTCAATATCATTGCTGATTGTTCATGATTAATATTGCTATTGATTATTTGGGGGAAGAGCTAATACTTGTCCAGGGTCTCAATAGAGATCTTGGGAAGGCAGCAGGTGGGCAAATGGAAGGATGGGAAGTGGGAGGAGGCAGGAGCTACCTATGTTGTTACTTATCATTTGTAGGGAATGGTAAGTGATAGTTGTAGGCAGAGCCTTCCATCCCCACCCTTTCCTGCACTTTCCCCTGTTTGTGTGCACAAACACACACACAATCTTGAGCCCCCATGATCCAGCAAAGGCCTGGCTTGCAGCCTGCAGCATCCCTGGCCCTAGTGATGTATGTGTCTCCCTGTTGAGGGGAGACTTGGCAAGAGTTTGGCCTGTGGTCAATGTTTGGCAGGGCCTGGAGATGAGGATGAAGCTTTTTGAGATCGCAGGGCTTCTGGTAGAGCTGGGGTGTGGCTCATGCAGCAACCAGACCCATTGGGAACGGATCCCAGGGAGTTGCTCACCTAGAGCCTGGGGTGGGGGGGAAGTGTGGTCTGCTGGTTGGTTTCTGGGTGTGAGAACACTAAGCAAGAGGTCGGGGGCCAGGGGAGGAGCAAGAGGAGGAGAAAGACTGAGGCCCAGAAGATCTCCTCTGTGGGAGCAGGGAGATCTGGGGTCTTGAAGCATAGGGTAGACTTTTCTAAAAAAGCATTTGGTGTGGAAAGGAGAGAACCCAGCCTGTGTCTGGAGGCATCTGACCTGAGTGTGGGTGCATATGTGCAACTGAAAACATGTGGCTGTGTATGTAGTCTGTGTGTATGTGCATGTCAGTTCGTGGGGACTGTGGGTGTATATGAGTCTCTGTGTGTGAGCAGGCCATGTGACAGCATGTGGGAGTGTGTGGGTGTCTGGGTCAGGCTTGTGTTTGTACAGGGGGCTGGGTATGACTTTGCATGTCTGTCTGGGTGAGGGAATGGGCATGTTTGATTCTGACCTGAGTGTGGGTGTGTTTCTCTGAGCCTATAGGCCTGTTGAATGTCTGGTTGTATGTTTGGTTATATGTGTATGAGTGTGTACATGTCTGGTTATATATCTATGAGTATGTGGATTTCAGAATGCTTAAGTATGCATGTCCAATTAGGTGGATTCTTAGTTGTATGTACATTCATCTCTGCCCACAAGTCCCTTTGAGTGTGAGTACATCAAAATGGTGTGTTTGTGAGTGTAAAGAAATATATGTGTCTGGCCATGCATGTAGGAGAGGGTGTGTATATGAACATGCTTGTGTGTCATGTGGGTGTGTCTGTAATGTATTTGTGTGAGTATGTCTATGTGTGAATGTCTATGTGGATTCTCTAGCATTTTTAGTTATGTATATATCTTTGTGTACATGTTTGAGTGCACACTATCTATAGACAAACCTATGATTTCATATACAATTAGGAAATGTAAGCACAGATGGGCACACTAGTATAAAGAGAACTGATTTTGTGAGTATGGGATATTATATGAATAAAAATATACTTTGTGGGTATGCCTGTATATGCACAGTGGACTATGTATATGAGTATGGCTGTGGGGGGTATATACCAGTACATATTATACATATGCAAACACAAAAGGCTGTGTGTGTAGATAAGTGGATGCATTTGTATATATGCCTAATTGTGTTTGTGTATACACCATGTGTGAGTACATATATAATTGTGATATGCATGAGTAACTACATTTCATAATACTTGGGCATTCGTGTCTCATGTGTTTTGTTTGAATTTCTGAGTATGAGTGTTATGTGAGTATATGTTTGAATATGCTTGTGAGTGATTGTGCATGTATATGTGGGTGTATATGCTAATATGTATGAACACATGACTGCATGCATTTGAGTGAACATATCCATATATATATATATATATATATATATATATATATATATGCCTGTATGTTCATGCACATCTAGTTCTGTATGTGAATATGTCTGTGTGTGTGCCTGTCTGAATGTACATGTGTGTGAGTGTACCAGTTTGTACAGTTCTAATTATTTGTATTTGTGTGTTTGTATATCTTTGTTCTGGAGCATATACTGCAGAACAATGTAAATTAATGTATGTACATGCCATTATAAGAGTGTTTGAGTGTGTATGTATATATGAGGATGTCTTTGCAGGTGTGTTTCTATAGGTGTGGATAAATTCTTCTTGTGTAGGTGAATAGTTGTGTGTGCAAAAATATGTGAATATACTTCCATGTGTGCATGTGTGTAAATATACCTTTGTATCTAAGTCTGTCTGTGGGAATGTAGATACAAATGATTCTGCTCTCATTTGTATGGTCTTATTATGGGTGTGTGAATTTACATGGTGTGCATATCTGGCTATGGTAGTGTAAGTATATTTTTTGTTTCAATATCTGTTTGCATATGGGAATGAATTAGTGTACAAGTTTATGTGCATATGAATATAATCATAAGTATATATGCTCACACATAGACTTGCATACAAGTTTATGTGTTATAATGGCTATATATGTATCATCATCTCATTTATAATCATGCACATATATGGGTATTTGTGTTGTGAGCACACCCACACAGGTGTGTGTGTGTGTGTGTGTGTGCATAAATACAATTATGTGGTTATCTGACAATGTGTATCTGATGTTTCTTTGTCATTTCCTTAGGTGTGATACAGTTAGCTTGTCCATGGGCATGTGAAAGTATACCTGCATGTATACCTGTATTTTTGGATGAATATATATCATTCATCTACATCATATTGCATGAATGTATGTCACATATATGCCTGTGTTTAAGAGTAAATGTGTGTGGGCTGGAGTTGTAGCTCAGTGGTAGAGTGCTTGTCTAGCACATGTGAGGCACTGGGTTCAATCCTGAGCACCACATAAAAATAAATAAAATAAAGGTGTCCATCTGCAACTAAATTTAAAAAAAAAGAATAAATGTGTGAGCTGGTACAGTGTGAGTATGCTTTGACGTGTGAGTATGTGTTTGGAAGAGTGAAGTTATTTGTGCATGTGCCCATCTGATGGTGCATATGAAGGAAATTTGGCTTGGTCCTGTGTAGATAGGACTTATCACTGAGAGGGTGATAAAGAAGGTTCTTATGAATTTATGGGACTCCATGTGCACCTTAGCTTATGCTTATATGCAAGTCTGAGAGTCAGTGGTGCCCCAATAGACCAGATTTGTTTATAATTGTGAATTGGCAAGCTATGACACTTAAGCCATCCATGACCTCACTTCTGGGTCTGGGGCTTTTCTTGCCTTGACCATATACTAGGTTTTGTGGGGGTCTCAGGACAAGTCCTCTTATTATTCACACCCCAAAAGTAGGAACGAATCATGACTGATATCCTACTGGGAGAAGGAGGCCTATGAACTCTTTAAAAAAGGATTCCTTGAAACACAAAGATCTCTCTTCCCATCCCTGCTCCATCAAAGGCTCATGGCAGAATGGCATTGTATATAGTGTCTTGGGTTGGTAAATAGTTTTCATAGCACCTAAATTACACCATCCTGGCAGAAATCTAAATGTGAATGTATATATTTAAGTGAAGATATATCAGTAGAGTATGTGTGTGTGTGTGTGTGTGTGTGTGTATAGTGTGGGTTGTGTGTATGTAAGGGAAAGTGTTGCTGTTTGTGAGTAAGGTGTACATGTGAGATATTTAGGTGTATTTTGGAGGGAAGGGGTGGGTGTGGGTGTATGTAAATTGGCCTGTTTGAGTGGAGGATGGTGAATGAGAGTTTGGGTTTGGATGGGTGGAATATGTGTGAGGATGAGTATATTTGAGGGGCATATGAGTATGGGTGTATCTGAATGGTGCAGGAGAG